CAACTGCTTAGACCACCATTCTCCATACATTCCATATTCTTAAATTATTACCTAGTAAAACAGTTGTAAAAAAGGTTATTTGTGTCCCTTTGAATCAATGCAATAACTGCATTGTATCTGCAAGTACAATTGCAAAAGCAATTCTTTTTCTTCTATTTCTGACTGTTTGCATTCTTCCAGGTGAATTCAAAATTCAAACATGGAGGGGGTTAAAGGTAAGCGATCTTTGATGATAACCGCTTACGTTATAGTGAATGAAACGGTGCTTAGATCATCTCTATTCTACACCATACTTAGCATATTTATTCATCTAGTCATGCCTATCAAGCCAAAGAATAGATTATAACTTAAAGAAACATTCAAAAGCCTCAATAATAAAATCTTTTATTTATATTTTAAATCATTGGTTATACTGAGCATAGCCAGAATAATAAAAGTTATTAGCCTTGTCAAAGTTACTACAATATTTTAATATGAGATTATCCTTTCACAGAAAATAAAGATGCTATTTTTCTCTAGCTTATTATGGAAAGAAATATTTTAATCATTTCAGCATCTTAAAAGATTGCAAAGAAAGTTTTATTTTTGAAAACATGAATATCTTTATGGTGGATAATTTAGAATATTACATTTTTATTAACAGATTACTATCAACTAATTCATGACTGCATATGGTATGAAATGAATGACGAAATTCAGTGCAGACTACTTAATAATCCTTGAACACAGATTGTCTGCAACTTCTAATAACTGGAGACATTGTGTGCTATCACAACTAAAGAACTATCCATTATACAGTCATTTATTTGATATTAGATTCCCACATGTTCTTGAAAACCAAAACGGTATAAAACAAAATATAACCCTCAAATTAACGACATAACAGTCTAGACAGAAACTGATAACCCTGAGTTCCCTAGAGCAAGAAATGAAAGACTGCTATGGTACTAAGAGATACCACTCTTAATAACCATCAGAATTTTGCAATGTTTATGAAGGATGAGACTAAGTTGCACTGTTAATTTACCCCAGGATAAATTGTATGTGAAGTTTTATTTTGGCATAAAGATAAATAGAACTGAATTGAAATTCTACTATCTAAAGAATATAAAAAGCAATTGTGGTTATGTTTATCTATCAGAACAAATACAAAATCACTTTGGTAATGTCCTTTTTTTAGGATCAACAAAAATGACCTAAACAAGTAGCCAGATATTATCAATATCAGATCCATTGCCCAGATAATCTTAATATGGCTTGGTGAATATGACTTTTGGATCATGAATATGATTTGGGGTTTTGGTGTCCATTAAGTCAGTGTTGAATTTTAGCATCTGTCTATACCAGTCCTTGCAGATTTCTTAACATCTTTAGAAGACTTGGTTTAGAAGTCTTCTTCCCAGGTTTGAAGAAGACCAACTGCCTCAGAACCACCTGCTGATTTTATGCTTAAGGGTTAGGGTTAGGGCTAATGGTGTCCTCATTTCTATCCCAGTAGCTTTAAATACTTTTGTCAGAATTATAAATGATATCAGATTTTAGCTTATATTTAGAGCTGATTTGTGAATTGTAGTTCCTCCAGTGAACTTAGTGCAGCTTATTCCAAGTAAATATGCCTAGCAAAATCCCACATATATGTAAGTATTGGAACTATGCAATACACCAAAATACACGTTGATACTGAAAAATCATGACACACATCCAGATGAGGTGCCCCCTTTTTAAATACATTTCTGCACATTCATTTTTAAACTAAAAAAAAAATCCACAGCAGAAGGCAAAACAGGGTTTGTTTGTTTGTTCTGTCTTTCCATGGGGGGGGGTGTCAGTCTTTTAAGGTTGACTAACTCAAGAAATAGGTTTTCTGCAGCTCTGTTTTTTAATTTTATTTTATTTATTTATTTAATCATTTTTAAGCCATCGAGAGTCATATATTTGAGATGAGTGGCTATATAAATTGGATAGATTGATGGATGGATGGTTGGCTGGCTGGCTGGATGGATGGATGGATGGATGGATGGATGGATGGATAATAGTCTTCAAAGCCTTTTTTTCAGCCCTTCTTATGTTAGAGAATCAAGGCACAGCAACAGTGAGCTTCTTCCTGACTCTCTCTTCCCTTTCATGGCTAACCTGGTGTTTATTAATGTCTGCTGGATATTTTTTTTTCAAACCCATCTCTACAATTTACATATTAGTAGCATTTATCTGGAAACATCCACATTCCTATACATTCTGGTGTCATCTATCTGGAAGCATCCATACAGTTTTAATAGGAGCACTATCGGGTCCCCAAAGAAATGTATTTTAACCCTATACCTATTTTCTACTTCTGTAGCCTTTCTTTGTGACCTGCCATTCTGTTGGGAGGGGGGAGATTTGGGATTGCTTTGCAATATCTGCTATGATGCCCTTCCCCCAGAGGATGGAATGTCTCTCTCTTATCTGAGAGACGGTTTGCACTTGGAGCCAGAAGAAATCAGAAGTGAGAAAGACCTTGAACCCACCAAAAAGACCAGTTACCGAAACACTATGCCACCTATGGATTGGTTAGGATTCAAAGGAACACTGGGATACTGGAGGGGAGGATTATTGAATGGTGCTTTTAATATACTGCTTTGTGGGTTTTTCTCTCAGACCTCACCTTGATTCCCTGTTGTCACTAGCCCCTAATAAAAGTTCCTTTTGAGACAATGCCTGTTTCAAGAGTTCTGCTTTCTTGGGTGACTTAGCTGAGGTAGGTCCTTACAAGCACATTGTGTCTTAACAAAGAAGCAATTTTGAAGCACTAAGATTAAAAGTTTTCTACCTGTGAAAGAAATGTGGATTTTTGTGATTTTTGTTTACTTTACATTTGTTTGAAATCAGTTTCAATTTTATAATATACATTAATGATAATAGTAGAACTTCTTTTTGATTACCTAAGATTTATTCAAATTTTTCAAAGAGTTTGCCTGTTTATCTCTTTATGTTAGTAAATTCTTATAGTACTCTAAAGGTTCCTTTCCACAGAGCAATACCTAAAGAAGTGAAACCAGAAGCGTTGCACAGAGGTATATATTAACACTGACTGCCAATGATTCTTCATGGCATCAAGCAGGATTTTTTTTTGGCATATTTGGGTATTGAATCTTCTATTCAATTCTAGGACCTTCTATTATGTGAAGCATGTGCTCCATTGGTGAATTGTGGTTCCTAAAAGAACTTCTGAACTTTTAAATTAACTTCGTCTTGGTCCTGTTAATTTTCTGTGAGCAGGGGAATTTTTTTTAAAAAAAGATCTAATACACATCTTGAACAGCTGCTGTTATTTTTCTTATTTTGTTTCTATTTCACCATTTTGTACTTTAAAAAATTAACTAATTTTATATGGTGAATCATGGTTAAATATTCCAATGTATGCTAATTTCAGCTGCCATACGCGATTTCAAATGGCTTCAAGACTGGGCACAATAAGCAAATTGTTACAGATGTTTTAAATATTCCATGGATTCATATGCAAATATGGATTTTCTTTCTAAACAGGATTTTTTATAATGTTGATCAAGGTACAGTTTATATCAATTCAGCTCAAGGTATGAACATGTGACTAACTTTTTTTTCTCTCTCTCTCTCTCTTTTGTGTTACCAGATTTTATGTGACATGAAAGAAGATCTGCATTTCTAAAATATGGTGGACACACACACATACACATTCTAAGCACTTTTTTGGGAGTCCAGGTGTGGCTGTACCAGATGGAAGAGACTTACCCAAGTGACGTTCGGCCTTCTCTGCTGGCTTCCACTTTGCTTTTGCTTGTAGGAAGTCATCAGGGAAGGTTGCAAATATCTATCGTCTGATTGTGATATAAGAACCATGGCGGTGCAGTAGTTAAAATGAGGTACTGCAGGCTAACTCACTGCTCACACCAGCAGTTCAATTCTGAGTGGCTCAAAGTTGACTCAGCCTTCCATCCTTCTGAGGTTGGTAAAATGAGGACCCAGATTGTTGGGGAAGTATGCTGACTTTGTAAAACCACTTAGAGAGGGCTGTAAAGCACTATGAAATGGCAGATAAGTCTAAGTGCTATTGCTATTGCTATTGTGGGTTGCTGTAACCTTCATAAGTTTGCATTGGTTGCCAAATACCCAGATCACAATCACATGACCATGGAGATGGTGCAATAGGTGGAACTTCAAGGACTGGTGATAAATACCCCTCATTCAGCACCTTTGAACTTCACAACATTGTATCATCAACATTGCAACTTTGAACAGTTGCTAAACAAGCGGTAAGTAAGCTCAAAAGAGTACATGAAGAATTTTGTCTATTTTGAGCAACATTCACTGTAACATAATTCTGCTAGGACAGATATACAATGAACTCACCTCAGCTTTGTTATAACAATCAACATTTAACAAATGACCTATATCAGTGGTTCTCAACCTTTTTAATGCCGTGACCCCCAACCAGTCGTAAGTCAAGGACTACTCAACTGGTGCAGCACCGTTTGCAGAATGGGATTTTGGCAGGCTCAGCAGGGCAGAGACAGCCTGGACAATTCCTATTGGCTTTTGAAAGCCAATAGAATTAGACTCTGTTCAAGAGAGTCTATTCTATTGGCTTTCAAAAGCCAATAGAATAAAAGGGAGTAGCATAGCTAAGGAAAAGGGGAAAAAAATGGCGAACTGTGTTATTTGGCGACCCCTGTGAAATGGTCATTTGACCCCAAATGGGGTCCCGACCCACAGGTTGAGAACCACTGATCTATATGAACATTCTCTTGTTAATTTTGGAAAATTTTAATTTATCCACAGAGGTATCCAGTTTCAAATTTTATTCTAGTAATGAGACAGGTGGCATGGTGTGACAGGCAGCAAATAAATATTTAAAATAAACACAGAGTAAATAAAATACATCTCAGCCTTCTCCTTGGGAAGGATGTTTAAATGCCTATTTTCCAGAGTCACTGTTGTGAGTGGGTGGCTCTACAAATCAAATGAATAAATAAATGACAGCAGCAATAAGAATATAATTATTTTATTTTATTCCTTTTTATACCACATACTGTCAATAGGTTAGCCTACAGTGGTTTCTGCATGCCAAACCTAAGCTTCCAAGCCATACTTAAAGTAATTTAGTTTCTCCAGCAGATTCAGTTTGCACATCCTTTCTTACATAATAAATAGATGTACATTTATATAAGCAAAGACTAGATAAATTGATCTGAAGTCAACATCTGTAATTGACAATGACTTGCATATCTGAAGATGAAAGATCATCAACTGAACTGTCAAACTATTTAGCATCTTAGACACACTTTTCAATAAAATCATTTTGTATATTTAGCCATGTGTCATAATACAATTAGATAGCCTGTGTGCTTAAATCTGTCATTCAGTGAGATTGTTAGTTACAGTTATGTATACCTTGTGCATATAAACACAAGGGAGACATGTCTTTCGCATATTCTTATAGTTCTAGAGAAAGAGAACTGTCTATGTTATTAATTCAGCTTACTAATGCATAATTACATTTCAAAGTATGTATTTAGCTGGAACATTAGAAATAAAGTTGGAGGCTAAAATATTTAACCAGAGCAAAGGTGATAATCATCAAGAACCAACAAACTTAGTTGATGGGAATACTTAGAATTTATCTTATGAAGTTGAAGCATCAGGGAACCACCTAGATATCTCTTTCAGGAAGTTATTTGACTGCAATAGTTGTAAATTCCCATTGGCTGAAAAATGCCCAAATATGGATCATGTGACCCAAGGACAGTTGGAAATACAAGGAATGGTCATAATGCTATTTTTCAGTATTGTCCTAACTTCAAAGGGTTACTAAAGAGGCCAACTGCAAAGTGAGATCTACCTATAATATCCTTATTCAGAGTACTATTAGTTAAAGTAGTACTGATTAATTATTTCATGTAATAAAATCGATGGAGGTTGATGAACAATCTGAAACGTCATAAAAGGGACCATGAGTTTTTTGGGGGACCCCTGAACTAGATAAACCTAAGAGCAGCCAAGAGCAACAGTTTTATGAAGTCAAATATCTTTCATGAGTACTATATATCTTTATATTTATTTCTCTTTTGTTCCTATTCATATCTTGCAGTCAGTCTTAGAAGCCCTCTTTCAGGTAGCCTTCTCTTGCTTGGGTGTCAAAGGGGCTATCTGGAAATATAGTTCCTCAATATTACCTGACCTTCAATCCTGAACATCCTCTTAAGTACAGCTGTCCAGCCAAGAGATATTTAGTTTTCCAGGTCAGAGAATAAGAGAAAGAGGAAAGAAAGAGATGGATACTAAGTTTAATGTGTTGCAAGCCATCTCCTTAAAAATTCCATTTTAAATGGTTGCATTTTGTTTTGAATAAATATAAAGAAGCATATTTTGTTTACAAAAAGACGCACTTAACTATATTGCACAGGGCATAGCTAGTGGCTGATTTTAAAAACATTGCTATGCATGTATAAAGTTGGAATAACCCACACTGAAGACAAGGAAAGTTGTTTCTGAGTAGGTATAAAGAGTAGTTAAGTATAAATCACACAAGATGTTATACTTCTGGGTCTCCATAAATATGATAATGAAGAAATTTGCTTTGGAGCAATTTGAGTTGTGCATATTTACACAGCTTTAAGTCTTAGTAATTTTAGTTAATTTATATATTTATAAATATCCTTTTGCCAGTTTGAAGTAATAGACAAGCAAGGAAAAAAACATTAAAAATGAGCAATAGATGCAAGCAACAAAAGAAGAAAATAAATATGAGCTAATTGCAAGACAGCAAAATCATTCAGTGCTAGTATTTTATCACCCTATCTGAGTCCCAGTAAAGTTGCAAATTTTATCATTTTTTTTTCACAATAGTGACAACAGAAAAAAAAATAGGAGGGAAATAATGCAATACAAAGGCAATCTTTGTCTCACATGTGGGAATCTGTAAACATCAGTACTACTGTAAACATTAATGTAGAATTTAACTTTCAAATAAACAACTTTTGAATTTCAGTCTTCTTTTAATTTACATTGCAGGATTTGCTTATAATTGGTATATTAACATACTTTTTCCACATCACCTAGGAATCCATCAGCTGGGAAGGACAGGTCTAACTGTGGATAGCTTTTAGCCTTTTCTGTTAACAGAGCAGAAACCCAGCTGGTCAACACTCAATTGATGCATGGTTCCTATAGGGAGAAATAAGGTCTGAAACAAGTTGTCTCTAAGGCTGTAATTGTATGCTTATTTACCTGGGAGGAAACCCCACTGAAGACAGTGAGACTTACTTCTCCATAAACATGCACAGAACTGAACTACAATTATCCACTTCCACATACTGTGCTTAACAAATAGTATTTTCTTAATGGCAAGATTTTTCAGTTCCCCATATCTAAAAGCAGATACTCATGAATGCTTTTTTTATGTAAAATAAATATTATTTCTGCATTAGGTATCAAATAGCTGAAATGAGTATCCTTCCTTTAGCATATTTTAAATGTGATGCTGAACCAAAACCAAATGAAATTGCTTACTCCAACTGTGAAAAAGCATTGCAGCATACAGTAGCATGTGGCGTTCCTTCTGCAGAACTGCAAGGCATGTTTCACACCTGTTGTTGGTTTTTTCCCCTGCTATTTCACAACCAGAAGGCTCTACATCGAACTACAGGAGACTTAATAGAATCCTGGATATGTTACTGAATTCTAAAACAGGTGTACAATATACTGTTATAAACATATTTCTTGGTTATGTGAAATTATCTTTTCATTTTTGACATTTGTAAAGTGTTGATTTCCAATATAGCAGTAGCTGGCCCAGAAAATGTAACAATGTCAAATCACATAGTCCAGGGCAATATCCAATTGCTATGAGTTCCAAGACGTCATCTGATCTCCCCAATTATTTACAATGATGAAAGCCACGCTGATACATTTATGTTTATTACTTTTTAAGAAATGCTAACCCCTACACTCTCATACCAGGTGCCCAAGTATCTTCACAAGTTATACAACTACACAAAACTTTTAATTCAATATTAAATTGAATTAATAATATTGTCTTATTATTGTCCTATTCTTTTCCCCCTTTCCCAAAAACAAAAATGGTTTCATAAACTATTTATTTTTACTGTAAAATTTCTCTTTTTACCATACTGGCAAAGACGGTCATAAAGATATCTGATTTGTTTTGATTGTTAGGTTTAAAAAAAAAGGCAAAAGAGAAATGTTTCCATCATTCTAATGTAGAGCCAGAATTCTTAACTCTCTGCAACTGGAAAATATGTCTTTCCTTAAGGTGGTATTTCTTTACAATATTTAGAATTCCTTTGCCTAGGCCAGCACAGAATATTGCACTGTATCAATATATAGCTCAATCAAATATATCCAGCAACAATGTCTATCATTTACTGTATAGGTTTAAACTTAAAATAATGTCTGGGGTTTCTCCCCTTTAATTTGCACTGAATGTTTAACATAGATAACTGACCCATTAATATCGTTCAAAAGGAGAAATGTTTAGTTAAAAATGCTTTGCATTCCTACATCTGTTATCATCATCTAATGAAGAACAATGAATTAGAAATCTTCTATGGGTCAGTCTAACTAGGTCCAATGATAGCTTACCACAAGCCATATGTTTCCAAAGCAGGTTTGTCAGGTTGTTAAAAGACCTTGAAGGTTGAAGCAAGAGTAATATCTTCATCAAAGAATCTGCATATTCTTTATATCACTGTGGAGCTGCAAGGAAAGCAAGAGAGAGGCAGAAAAAAATATAAAACTTAGGTTTGGATCTGGAATATTTGAAGAAAGAGATCATTCTAAAAGCTTGGCTTGCGGCCACAGTTTTTTTTTCCAGAGTCTATTGTAGAGTTGGTGGCAAACCATAATAAAGTAGTCAAACCTTACAAAGCAATTTTAAGCATCCCAAAAGAGATCAAATAGTTAGGTTTGAATTATTTATAATTAGTCTGTTACATTTACAGTGTCAATATCTTCTCTCCAATTCTAGTTTGTTTTTGCTTTGAGCCTTGCCTGCAAAATTAGGCTGACATCTTGCCAGCTTATCATTTGTTTTTGTTGTCATGCTCTATAACATTGTCATTTTTCTTTTCATATCCAAGGCTTCATTTTTATAAACAAATCAACTGCCCTGCCCTTTCTCAACTTGCTGCAAACTGAATTTTAGTTTATTAACCACTAATAAAGACTATGAGTTCACCTTTATGTTCCATAATTATGCAATGAAAATTACCTGAAAAACTCTTTTATCTTGGATGTCCTCATGACATTGCCTTTACCTCATCCCTAGTTCATATTTGATACATCCTAAGGTCATCCTTAACCCTTCCCATCTTTTCCTTCTCTTCCTAATGCTGGCAATATAATCGGTCATTCTTCACCAAAAAATATGTTTGCTGATACAGTTAAGAACTGAGAATAACCCACTTGCCACTTAAGCTGCTGGACCACTATGCCCCCTTTCTGCCAGTCACTGGGAAATGCCCTACAAGGGTATTTTGGTTTGGGTTGAAAGACAGACTGGATCCCTGACTTCTGCAGAGATATTTGTTTATGGCTAATGCCTCTACCTAAAGTTCCCAAGTCAGAATGTCGGATTTTATAAGATTCCTGATATTTAAAAGAGCATTTCTTTGAAGCACAATAGTCTAATTCTGGACACAAGTCAATTTTAACCACAAAAAAGAGACAAGTTTTGCCAGCTGTGTATTGGTGGCTTTGTCATGACTAAGTGCATTACAGATTTTCACTACTTCTGATGACAAGAGTTTGACTTGGCTACACTTTTTACTCTGTGTGTTATGGTGATGTGGACTCTATATTCTGGTAACAACTTATTTTATGTGCACCAATCTTAATTGTATGATTTCCTGGATCTTCTAACATGGATTGCTGCCAGCTAGAAGATCAAAACTGAACTTCTTGGCCACGCTCTACCAGCCCTGCCATTCCCTTACAGTACTAATCGAAAATAAACTCACTGTTATTGATCACTCTATCCTACTTCATCTCAGGCCTTTTCTCCACTCCTTTTCCCTTTCAAGTGGAGTGTTTTTGAGTTTAGAGGTTTAGGCTTTTTCAGAAGAGCATCAAGCCTGAATTCAGGAATAGCCTGACTGACAAATCACATGCACCAATGAGGGGTTGCATTAAGCAAGAGTAGCTGGAAAACTTCCATGTATTTCACACTATTCTACTCTGTTTCTTTTTTCTTGTCACCTCTAGGCTGGTGTCATTCCTTCAAGGTAAGCAGAGTCAAGAAATAATTATTTGTTGTAAGTATTATAACCGATTATTGAAACTAGCCAGAGTTTCTTTTCCACAACACTTTTCATCAAACAAAATCAAAGCACTAAATGAGGCAGTCTTTAATGGAGCCATACCCTTTTTTTTTTTTGCTGCAGTCATTAAGTGAATCACCACAGTAGTTAAGTGAATCACACAGTCATTAATTCTGCTTTTGACTTTGGTTATTGGAAGCCAGTTAGGAAATTTGCAGATCATCATCCCTGGATGTTGCATCCATTGTAGATAAATGCTGGTTGCCAAATGCCCAAATTTCATCACATGATCATGTGAACACTACAAAATTCATATGTTTGAGGACCATACATATGAGAACTTTTTTCAGCCTTTTGAAAGATTTTTTTTTCAGCATTGTAACTTTGAACTGTCATTAAACAAATGGTTGTAAGTCAAGGACTTATAGTGAGACGTTTCAGGAAGAGTGGCATTGTTTAAGCCAGCATACTTTTCTACCAGCCTATAGACTTCCCCAATGTACACCAGATATAACAATAGTAATTAGACTTATATACCACTTCATAGAGCTTTACAGCCCTCTCTAAACAGTTCACAGAGTCGCCTATTGCCCCCAAGAATCTGGCTCCTCTTTTTACTGACCTTGGAAGGATGGAAGGCTGAATCAACCTTGAGCTGGTCAGGATCGAACTGCTGGCAATCGGCAGAATTAGCCTGCAATACTGCATTCTAATCACAGTGCCACCACGGCTCGGCTTATAGCTAATTTATTTGGACACTGTGAAGAAGTATTGTTTCACTGATTGATAGGAGAAAGCAAGGTTATGAAAATTATACATCCATGAAAAGTTGGAAAATGTATTATGATAGAAATTAACAAATGCCACTGCTCCCCCTGATGATGATCACGGCAGTGATGACAATTATATTTCTAACTCTTTCTTCCCCAGGAGCCAAAGTAACGCAGATGATAAAAATTTTACAATAAAGAAGTCTTAAGAGTGAAACAGTAAGCAATGAAAGTAATAAAAACAAAAGTGTAGCATTAAGTTGTACAATTAAAACTATTTATCAAAAGTAAAAATTAAAAATTAACACAAACCTTAATTTGAGAGGTAGTCTGGACCTGGGGGCAGTTGCTCAAACAAACACATCGTCTTTGGCTGTTATCTGAAATAAATCAGCATAACAGCCAGCTTTACATCTTCTGAAGAAAATTCTAAGGCAGAAAAATCTACCTCCTTGTAGATAAAATATAGTGAGTTGGGGCAAAATTTAGAGACATTCAGTTGGCCTGGGCAAGACAGACTTTCTCTTTTCTCTTCTCCCCAAATGCTCCTTCATTACCTTATGATAAGTGGAGTATAGTCCCATCTATTAAAATACAGCAGGCAGGGGGAGAAAGGGGACAATAATTAACCCAAAACTGGACAGAGATACTTTCTCTAAAAAAAGATGCCTCAACTTAATTCCATGCCTTTACTAGAGCCCCTCAAATGTAGCAACAATACAGGTGGAGGAAGAATGGCGGTGAAATAGTTCCAATAGGAAAGAAATGATGGAATTTTTCTAAGTAAAAATATGTTATCCTTAGATAAGAAAAATGAATTAAGCTTTCATTTGTAAGGCATATATTTTTTTGTTTTTTAATTTACAGCATAAGGTTGCATTAGTAAAATATTATTTTAAGGCCAGAATTATACTCGCACTTTGCGTTTTTTCCCTCCTGAAAAGTCACTTCTGATTAAATGAAATAATTATCCTAGGTATGTCTGCATATATTTATTAAGGCATGTCTGCTCTCTAGCCTTCCCAACAATGATAGTATAGGAGGCACAGAGGAAACAATCAATAATACTTGTTTTTTACAGAAAGGTTATATCTGATGAAATGGACTGTATCCTGCCATAATATGTGCTGTTAAGTGTTTTAGTCTGACACAAGAATTCTTAGATGTTTGTACCCTGGCTTTTCTAAATATAGATGTCACCTTTCTATATTTTGGCTGCAAGATCTTTATAGACCAGGAAAGCAGATTGAGATCAGCTGCTTAAACTCAGAATGAACACACGTAAGTTCACTTAATGATTCATATAGTGTTCTCCCAAGACAGCCATCTATTTGATCAGTGCTTCCGGTTATGATCATTAGCATCAAGCTGAGCAATGACAACCTTACATCCCACTATATATTACTCAAGATTTTCATCCTCTGCCTAATACCTATCATCACACAAACACACCCTTCAGATTGACTTACCAATCCAACCCCTAAGGAAATACCCATGTCAGATTGAGTCAAATGTTGTCCAAGCCATCTAGTTCATCTCTTTGTGTCCTTGTAGTTGACTTTATGCCTATTAATTCACTTAAAACAGCCTCTTCCAGGCCTGATTAGTATAGATAAAAAAGAAATATCTTTGAAAGTAGGCTTCAAAGTTCTAAGAACTTCTTGCTTTAGTGGCAGTTTCTCCTTCAAAGATGGATCTGGGCCTGATACTTGTGTATCTCTGCATTTAAACTTGGTGAACTTTGAAGTTTTGGACTTCAACTCCCATAATTTTCATGAAACATAAGGGCTTTGACTGGGAATTAAGGAACTGAATTTCAATACTTGGAAGATAGCAAATTGGAGAGAGCTGAGATGAACATTTGGGTACATATGAATACCATGGGCCCTATTGGATGAAGTATGTAATTTTCATTATAGTTGTGGCTGAAGTGGCCTTAATGTTCAAGCAATGCTTTCCGATACAGAGATCCTACAGCTACAATTGAAAAATATTGCCTAACTATGTTGTCTTCCCTTCCTTAATTGATTTTCTGGTAAGAAAGAAAATAGATAGGAAGGTTATAAATGAATATTGTGTCTGGACCCATTGTAAAATTATGTGAATAAGATATGACAATAGTATAATAAATATCTCAGGACAGCTGCCCTAGGTGACATTTAGAAATGACACATCAGGTAATCATATATGTAATCATTGCTCATGAAGCATATGCCACTGATTCTTCCTGAGAGCTTAAGTACACATATTGTATATAGATGCTAAACTGAGTTGGCATTTTTGTCTCCAAAAAGAGAGCTGAATTTTCTATTTGACCTACAATTATTAACAGGTTACAAAAATAACTGTGCCTATAACACAAGAACAATATTTTCTGAACCCTGCTTCAGTTTTTACATGCACACATACATTCATATACAGTAAGTCAAATTATTTCTTTTAAGTGAGCAACATTATATAAATTGAAGAAAATGAGCAAAAAATAGTGAACTAATTCTATTGGTAAAAACAAAAAGAAACAGAGCAAAATTTACTATACTTCTCCATATTTGTCCATGTTTCCACAACTTCATGCACTGTTTTTATTCTCTAAACTTATCTCTCTCTTTTAGCAGATCTCATAAATTCATCCAAACACTTTTTATTCCCTGTTCAGCGCTGAACCATTTGTTAACCATTCCATATAGTTCCATCATATGTAATTCTTAATGCATTCAGTAACCAGCCTTCAATCCCATATTATTCAAAGTGTTCCACAATCATCAAGCTTATTCACTTTATCATGTACTTTTTCTAAATCAACAAAAATTTAGTAAAACTTTGTCCTCATATTCACACAATTTTTATTGAATTTCAAAGTACTTACTTAGGATATTTAGTCTGAGTTTATTTCAATATGCTTTATGTCAATATTTACAGTATTCCTAATTGTGGGATGCAGTCAACAGTGTTTTGACTTGCAAGTTCATCTCTAGGTTGAACTTTTAGTTTCATAGAATAGGGTAAGAATATTTGATTATGCTTAGATCTTGGTAGTACATGCAGAAGATTGCCCAAAATGTACCTTTATTGCAACACGTGGCACAGGTATGACTAAAGCTGGTAACCTAGCCTAGTAATTTTCTATTACTAAAAGTGTTATGTGACAGGTACAAATCTTATTTTCAGGTCCTGCAAAATAAGCAAAGTGGGTTACTTAGGGGTTTTTGTTGTTGTTTATTTTAAGGAAGACATGATTAATTCTGGTATTTGAAAGAACCAGATTGCTTTGGCTTCCGTATATTCATTATGCCTTGTAGCCTAGATTTCAGTAGATATGCATATTAATGTTGTACACATGCTGATTTGAACCATCAGTCTTTGTCTACTTGCACAAAGGATTTTTTTTCCATGTATAAGTCTTCCCTTGAGATTCTGTTGCAAGGATATCACATTTTCTGACCAATCAAAGCACAAAGTTTTGTACCTTGGAAAATATGATACAGATAGCTATTGTAATTGTTATAAAGAAGGCAGTTCTGCAAGTTTCATGAGTTGCTGACTAGATATTTGAAAATCCTCTCTTGTGAAAATTGAGTTGCATAGTTCTAAGAGATAAAGGCTCAGCTTTTGTAGAACATTTGAAACCTATCCTGAATTACTCCAAGCAGCATTATCCTTTCCATAAGAAATTGTTAGAATTAAGTTGAATGCATTGGAACTCACAAGTAATGTGCACTGCAGAATGTGTTTAGGGGCTATTGCCTATGAAAAAAAATTCTTCCTCAAAAGATCTATCTATAATAAATCAATGATATACTGAAAAATTATAGTTTATGCAAAACTTGTAAACCCCTTGTTTATTGTTCACTTGGATCTTACTTTACTGCCTCATTGTTGTTCTCTTCCTCTGGTGTATATACTTTTTCAAAAATATTCATTAAAAATTCATTAAAAATGAGTGCTTCTTTTTAATGGATGTGACCAGTTAATAATAGTTGACACCATAAAATATCAATGATACAATATTATAGTCTTTCGAAATGTTTTCCTACCTTGCCTACATCAAGGGAAAAAATATATAGTGTATTTAAAGAAAGAATTATTTGCTTAATATTTTGAGTCTAATGTTGACCCTCTGTTTTGAAGAAATTTATTTTCATTATTTGAAAAGATAAGAAGAAAACAGATTTTCACTGTTTTGTATGGGGAAAAGAGGGGACTTCTTCACTTCTTTTTAATAGTGCAATAAACCATCTACCTAATGGATATAATAGATAAGATGATGTCAGGTGCAAAAGACCACGTCCACATGTGAAGGTCCAATTAAATGATTTACTGCAAAATATCTTATGTGCAGGAATATTCCCAACTAAAGGTTTGCCCCCGCTTGGAGTTAGATAAGAGTCCATGGAATTCAGGAGAGATTGGTCTTACTCTTTTTGTGACTACGTAAGGATTTTAGGCTGATCTCTCATTTAATTCTGTCCCCACGTTCTGCCACTTCTTCTCCTACAGAGGACTTTTACATGCTTTATTTCTATGCATGTATAAAATATTATTTCTTATTTTTTGCATGTGAAAATATTTAAATTTCACATTCATAAAATCCCATTTCCATGCAGAAAATGAATTAAATCCAATTCATATTTAACAGACATGCTGATTTAACAGATAGCTCTTTCATCCACCAATCATTAAATGAGGATTTTATTGCTACTGTAAAAGTCAGTCAACAGGCTCAGGTATCCACTGATGCTCCAGTATCCCCAATAAACATCCAGAAGGGAGAAAAGCTCCTAATTTTCCATCCTTTGCTGGAGATGTTAAAAAGTGTTATTCTTCAGAACCATGAAGAAAGCTGCTGAAGTGATACTGGAAGATAAGCATGTCTCTCCAAACAGCTATGAGACTGAAACCTCACAAAGAAGTTTCAGTTTAAAAAAAAGCAGATAAAAGGAATCTTTTGTCTCTGCAGAGATACGTAAAAATTTAATTAGGAACATTCATTATATACTTGATTTATTTTTCTGTGTTATGTAAGTCCAATATTCTTCATTTCTCTGTCCAAACACAGTAATTGTGTATATTACATAATAGTGTGGGTCCACTAGCAGCGTCAACAATTGTGTGTATATCAGATGGTTTATGACAGTGGTTCTCAACCTTTTTAATGCCGCAACCCCCAACCGGTCGTAAGTCGAGGACTAATCAACTGGTGCAGCACCGTTTGCAGAATGGGACTTTTGGCGGGCTCAGCAGGGCAAAGACAGCCTGGACAATTCCTATTGGCTTTTGAAAGCCAATAGAATTAGACTCTATTCAAGAGAGTCTATTCTATTGGCTTTCAAAAGCCAATAGAATAAAAGGGAGTAGCACAGCTAAGGAAAAGGGGAAAAAAATGGCGGACTGCGTTGTTTGGCGACCCCCGTGAAATGGTCGTTCGACCCCAAATGGGGTCCTGACCCACAGGTTGAGAACCACTGGTTTATG